TCATTCAGTATTAATTCTGTCTTTTCAATCTGTTACATATTAGTTCTATCTTTAATTTCTGTATATGTGAAATTCATATACATGTTTAGTATCTTTTGCATATTGATAAAAAATTTAGCCAATAAATGATTTAGCCAATTTTGTTAACTTTTATGTATGGAGATTCTTTTTCTTAATGCATGTTTGGTAATTAATTTTTTTTATATAAATTCATACCATGTCTATATGGTAATTAAATATTTTTAGATATTATTCTATGAACTTCAGATTAAGAATTTATCATCTTACTGTTACAAAAATAGCACAACATTATAAATAATATTGTAGAAGAATATTAATTGTATATCTATCTATTGTAAATAGTTCGTTGTTGCTCCCGAAATAGCACAACATTATTAATATTTTTAAAAAAATTTACTTGCTTATAAAGAGCATGATATTACAAGTTCAATATTCTAAAATAATATTGACTCAATACTCCTGAAGAAGCATAATTTAAATTATGGTTATTTTAAACGAATATAACGTTGATGTTCTCGAAGAAATGCAACACACACGTTATATAAATATTCAAGAAGAATATTTCATTATTACCCATGTAAGGCATAAATTTTATTATTTAGCTCGAAAGATAGGATGAATCGTTAATGTCAATATTTCAGAAAAATATTGTATTTATACTTTTGAAAATTATATGTCTCGTTGTGTTCCAAAAGAAAGCACATTTTATATAATAATAATAATAATAATAATAATAATAATAATAATAATAATAATAATAATAATAATAAGTACATTTTATATAATAATAATAATATTAAAAAAAAGTTGTGCTGTTGTTCCTGAAAAAATACAATGTTATTAATATTTTAAAAAAATATTAATTGCTCCAAAAGAGTATGATATTATAATTTTAATATTCCTAAAGAATATTGATCGATTATATATAAAATCACGAATTAAATTACTCTATTTATTTACGTGTCCATTTTTCTGCATATGTTTTTAGATACTGATGTTCTGGTCAAATTTTATTATTTTTAAAGAGCATAATAATATAAGATTTAACATAAAATTATGTTTTTACTCCTGAAGAGTAAATCCTTACATAATTATTACTGTAAACAATAATATGCTATTATTCCTAAAGAGCATGACATTAAAATTTTACATATTTTAGAAGAATATTGATCTATTATTCTTGAAAAAGTAATAGTAAAATATAATGTGATCTCAAAATAGCACATTATAATTTTCATTAATATTCTAGTTAAATTTTACTTGTTCTCGAAAAGTATAATTACATATAATCTAACGTAAATTATATTTTTACACTCGAAGAGTAGATTATTGTATAATTTATTATAATATTATTTGATTGCTCTCAAAGAGTTTGAATGATTTTCAATATTTCAAAAGAATATTGACATATTACTTTGAATGAGCAATAATAATAATAATAAAATATATAACATGCTTTTAAAGCAGCACGTGTTCGAAAAATATATTATTTTGAATTCATGTTTATCCGTGAAGGAAAACATATAACTAATGTCGTTAGAACATTGATTAGTTTGGTTACTTGAATGATATATAATTATATAATATTTAATTATATTTTTCGAGATTAAATAATTGAATTATATATTATATTGAATCAGAAGTTCAGTTTGATTTTATTATTTGACATGACTAATTGGACCATCATTGGATCAATAATGATGCGAAATTAAAATTTTTATTGGATATTAAATGAAGAATCAGAAAATTTTTCAATCCAATTAATTCATATATATTATTTGTTTTCTTTATTGACAATTGATTATTAAATATCGCTAGCTAAAATAGGAATTGAATTCCCTATATTTCTGAAAATTAATTAGGATGATATATGGGGCCCATCACCCACCATGTTAACCATCTAAATATTATATATATCTAATAAATTTGACACAAATATTAGATAATTGCATGGTATTCGCAACATCAAGTTTTGGTAAATTATTGCTTAAGTTATGAAGATAATTTTCAGATTATATAATCAAGACTATGTCTTGTTAATGCTAGTGGGCATAAATCTCAACATTTTAATAAGTGTTAGTTGAGATGTCGATAAATGGTTTAACACTATTGTTTGTTAAATGCTTCCAATTAATTTAATTGATAATAAAATATTTCTTATTTTAATTTAGGAAATCCTATTACGCATCATGTCAAAATCACAGTTCTCCCTATTATAAATAGCTTATGGTCAGATTGTAATTTTTCCATCTAATTCTTTTTTATGGTGTAGTATATGTAAAAATCGAACACCACGGTATACTGAAATGGAAAATAATGAATGCTGAGAATAAGTACATAGTTTGAACTATTATTTCAAATGGGTTATATTTTATAAAACTAAAAAAAGTGATTGTCAATTTGATTAGACAATTCTCTGCGCATTAGGGAAAAATTAAGAAGTTGAAAAAAATGTATAAATGCATTATCATCTAAATCCTTATTAAATATCATTCGAACCATAAGTTCGAAAGATAATTTATTTAAATGTATTTATTGATCAAAGAGATCAACAATATCTCCTAATTTTTAATGCTCCAATACGAATTGATATCTTAGGGGACAATTTGTTAGCATTATATTTAATATATCTATGATTCGTCTGAAGCGTGATGGTATTTGATTCTAATAAAAAAAAATTTCAAATAAAAGTGGAGCAATTAGTAAAGATGATTTCATTAAGGAGGCATATACTCTTAATGAGTATTAGACATAACAAATTATAAAATCCCAGATGAGGTTCGGGTACCTGATATGTTGAAAATTGAGATATCTAAATAAGTTATGTTACAATAGGAAAAGAAATAGAATCGAACCAGAAAATAAAAGTTGTCAACAATTTTGTACATAACATACAGTATCATATATGAATCGTGAGGAATCGAAATAAATGCGTCAAAACATATTAATCGAAATAATTTTGGCCAAATAAAATGAAATACAATCTTAAATTGAATTTACTAAACAAATATAAAATTTTTGGACCTGTAGTCCGAAAATCTAAAAATATATACTTATACGAAAAGGAAATGAGAAAAGTGAAGTTGTAATGTGTAATGTACGACTCTCAACATAGTGAATTTTGCAAAGATCGTCATGGATGAAATTACGAGACTATATCATATTATTTTGACGATATATGAAATTTGAAATACATGATAGTCAATTGATCTAGCGTGATTATTAATATTATCTTTAAAAGATTTAATATGCCTGAAGCATAACTCAAATGATACGTGCCTGAGAATCATGTTCTTAGATCATTATATTGATTAAAACAATCTGGACGCATGTGATATAATCGCTTTAGCGAATATTTGTTGAATGAATTCTATGAAAATGAATATGTCCGCCCATTTGTTTTCATAAAGAAAACAAATATTGAATTTGCAATTATGGTTGATGATTCAAATTTAATTGGAACTACTGAAGAGCTCAACAAAACTGTTGGTTATTTGAAAAATGATTTTGAGATGAAAGATTTGAGAAAAATCAAATTTTTTCTAGGGTTGCAAATTCGAACATTTTCCAAAAAAATTATTTGTTCATCAATCTATGTATACAAAAAGTTTTAAAACGCATTTATATGGACACATCCACTAGCATCATCATAGTTGTTCAATCATTCGATGTAAAAAAGGATCCATTTCGTTAACTTGAAGATGGAGAAAAGGTTATTGGTCCTGTAGTACTATACCTTAGTGCAATTGGAGCATTAACTTATTCTGTAAATTACACTCGACTTAACATAACTTTTTCTATAAGTTTCTTTGCAAGATATAGTTCTACACCAATTCAAAAATATTGAAATTTTGTTAAACATATTTTTCATTACCTAAATGGTACTATTGATTTGAGATTATTTTATTCTCAAAAGTCTGGATCCGCTTTAGTGAGATATACAGATGCATGTTATCTCTCTGACCCCACATAAAGTTAAATCACAAACAGTATGTGTTTACACGTGGAGGAACAGCTATATCATGAAAATCCGTGAAACAATCATTGACAGCAACATTCTCAAATCATTTTGAAATTATTGCAATCCATGAAGCAAGCCAATAATGTGTATAGTTGAGGACATGACCCATCATATCCAAAAATCATGCGGGTTAACTCCAACAAAGGATAGTTAACAACTTTGTATGAAGACAATACAATTTGTATTGCACAACTCAAAAGAAGCTATATCAAATGTGACATGATAAAGCATATTTCTCCAAAATTCTATTATACACATGAGCTTCAAAAGAATGACGACATTGATATCCAACAAATTCTCTCAAGTGGCAATATGATCGATTTATTCACAAAAACACAATCAACATCTACATTCGAGAAATTAGTTCTTAATATTGGAATGCGTCGACTCAAACATTTTCAGTGATCAATATCAGTGGGAGTAGCTGTGCTCTTTTTTCCTTCGCTTAGGTTTTGTACCACTAGATTTTCCTAACAAGGTTTTAATGACGAAACATTTACTTTTAGTACTCCAAAATAACTGTACTATTTTTCATTCGTTTGACTTTTTTTCCCATTGAATTTTTATCAAAAAAGATTTTAATGAAGCAGATATTTTATAATGTATCATTCAAAGGAGAGTGTTGTAAAATGTAAGTTTATTAGGATTTAGAGGTGAATGACAATTATAACCCTACAGCCCTAGAAATTATTACTGTTGTATCCCTGATTCTACCCTATAAATGCAGAATTTTGGTTCTTAATAAAACACACAAAAGTCTATTGACTTCTTTCTATTCTATTCTCTTTTCTTCGCTTTTATAACAATTTTTAATATATGTGTAAAATTATTTTATTATAGAATGTGCGGTTGAAAATGAATTTTGAAAAAATAATTTTTTGATAAAATGGGCTCAAACGAATTAATGAAAATTTTTTGAAAAATTAAATTTGCTTGTTTATGCTTATCATTTCCTAAAATCGAATCAAAGATTTCTTCTTTTAGACACTTCCTTTTCGTGAGCCATTGAACTTGTTAGCCGGAGGCGCGCAAGTTGCATGTCTTTCGTTAGGGTTCCAACCATCAAAATTTCCCCTTTGTTTTCTCTTTTCCCATAATCTTTTTAATAAATGAATTTATTTATACACTTGTAACTCCTCAAGGTAATATATCGTTTCATAAATACATCTTTTTTAATTCGATACATATTAATTATACTTTATTGATATGCAGTTCTTATTTGGCATCATGATTTTGCGTAAGATATATGTTCTTAAGACAATTCTTGATCTGTGTTTGTCTTCTTGTTTGACAATTCGTGATTTTGAGGCTTTGCTTGTTTATGCTTATTCGTTTATCTGTTGAATTGGATTATATGTGATTTTTTCAACAGTCTTGATCTTGGTCGTGAGAATTTTAAGATTTGGTGATTTTTCTGATTAAATACTCCTGGTCTTCTGGTGATATTGACTTGGTGTTAGAAACTGTGTGATGTGTTTTGATCGTGTGTTAATGAACCGATTTAAATAGTCCCCCTTTGGCGAGGATTTAATCAGATTTTTAGTAGATTTTTTATAAAAGTTGATAGAAATATACGGTTGAAAAGTTGTAGGTGACTTTAAAATTAAAATCTAGATTTAATCACTTTTTTTTTATTTTTTTTCTTTTTCTTCTTCTTCTTTTTTTTCCTGATGAATCCTGAAGGAGCGGTGTAAGATAATTGGTAACTTTAGCTAAAANTTTTTTTCTTTTTCTTCTTCTTCTTTTTTTTCCTGATGAATCCTGAAGGAGCGGTGTAAGATAATTGGTAACTTTAGCTAAAAGGTGAAATTTTGAGGTTGAAACTTCACATATGTAATTGTTTGTGTTGAAATTGGACAGGATTTAATCTGATTTGGATTTTACTTTTTTGTGGTGCGCAGGAATTTTTTATTAGAGTTGCTTTCCGGAATTTTATGAGGTTTGTTGTGGTGGGACCATGCCTTCTTCAGATAATCAAGGTTTCCCTATAAATTTTGCTTCATTTCGTCAACCAATTTTGAACATTAGAAAGGATCGGGTTCATTCAGAAGCAAGTCACGATTCTACGATTCAGAACCTGGAATCATTTCAAAAACGAGTCTCTGCCCAGTTTCATATTCTTTCTGCTGTTGACCCGGATGAATTTCTCTCTGTTTCATGGATTCGAAAGCTGTTAGATGCATTTGCTAGCTGTCAGGAGAATTTTAGACTGATATTGGGCAATAACAAATCACAGCTCTCAAAACCACCAGCTGATAGGCTTGCTTGTGAATTCTTTGACAGGGCTATTAAGGCACTAGATATTTGCAATGCAACTCGTGATGGAATAGAGAGAATTCGACTGTGGCAGAAACATTTGGAGATCATTGTAAGCGCTTTGGATAGTGAACAAAGAACAATAGGTGAAGGTCAGTTTCGTCGCGCAAGAAAATCTTTGATGGAGTTGGCCCTTTTGATGCTAGACGAGAAAGATACCGGGTCTATGTTTTCATACCGCAATCGGTCTTTTGCACACAAGGGCAAGGATCACAGCTGTCGTTCATCAGGTCACTCACGATCCCAATCATGGAGTGTATCTCCTTCTTGGTCAGCATCCAAGCAGATCCAATCAATCGCAAACAACTTGGTTCCTCCCCGTGCCAATGAAATTGCAGCCACTAACGGTCTAGCGGTTCTTGTCTTTACAATGAGCTTTGTTCTCCTGTTTGTTTTATGGGCTCTCGTTGCAGCAATACCGTGTCAAGATCGAACTGTGCCGATTAATTTTGCAATCCCACGTAATTTCGCGTGGAGTGCACCATTGTTATCACTTCATGGTCGGATTTTGGAGGAATCCAAGAAGCGAGACCGCCGAAATTCCAGTGGATTGTTGAAGGAAATATATCAAATCGAAAAGTCGGTACATCAGCTAACAGATTTGGTGGATTCTACTCGGTTCCCACTTACAGGGGAACACAAGGAAGTGATGAGAGTGAGCGTTCATGAATTATCATTGGTATGTGAAGTTTGTAAGACTGGACTGGATCCACTAGAGCGCCATTTAAAGGAAGTTTTCCGAAAAGTTATGAGTGTCCGGACCGAGGGTCTTGAGTTCTTAGGCAAGGCTACAGAACGTTAGTTACTGATATTGAACTATGCTGATCAGAAGTGAAAGATTCCAATTTATCATCATTCTAATTTTTTCTAGCCTAATTTAAGAAAAGAAGAGAGTGTCGCTGAAGATGAAGGATTTTAGCAGGTAGCTCTTTTGTATTTATAGATATACCTACTGTAGAAAAAACACGCTGTTAATATCTCTAATCATCCTGTTTCAAGACTTCACCACGAGCTTGACGCCTTCATCAAAATTTAATCTTTCTATCTTTTCTGGTCATACATGTACAATGAACATAATCTTTTGTTGATTTGCTTCCCCACAATGATATTGACTCAAACAAGACTTATCTCTTATTTGCAGCGGCCCTGTGGAATAGCCTGTGTTTTCCCCTAGAAAATATTGATTTCGTTTATCGTCCTTGTCATGCGTATATTTGTGAAAATATTTGTCTGTTATTGGTTTCCTTGGTTTGGAAGACCTATTGCTGTTTGTGTTTGATATGTATGGAGGTTTGATGACTTAAACTATTTTAGGTAGACAGTTTTTATGAGACGACTTAAACTATTGATGTTTGTATTATCATGATGATGCATGATTTGACTCTCCCTTAGGTTCTTGAACTACATTTATTGGAAACAAGCAATCTCTACTTAGACGCCTGGTTTTTTGAAGTTAATTCTCTCTTAGTATTAGTATGCACGTTGTTACGTAGTTTTAGGTCTTGTTACAGCGTTACGCATTGGAATAGCTTGGTTTTTGTGTCTAAATATTGTGATTCTTGTGATCCCATTTCGAGTTAAATTATTAAGGTACTCAAATTCAACTCGACCATAGGTCTTGTTTCATTCAACTAGGAGTTTATATTAATACATAGAATTACTATCTCTACATAATAATAAATATCTTATAAACAAATTCTTTAAAATTAACAATTAAAAATCCTTTTCTTTTAAAATTATGGACGGCCGGTGGGAAACTTTGCCTCACCGACCACGTTTTAATGATCCGAATATTATCGGATCCAGTGCAAAAATATGGGTAACGGATCGGCCCAAATTAGTCCCCAGTTGGGCTCTCCGTTTTGTTTTCCCTCTTGTCTAGGATTCCTTCTCTCAAGGGAGATGGATTTTGATTAAATTAAAGTATTAATCCTAAGGCGGTGATTTCACTACAACGAACCACTCGTACAGCACCCCCACTTTATCACCTTCCAAATTACCTGATTCTCCTCTTGACATCCTTGACCACCACCCTACCCGACCACAAGTACGGTATTCTCACAACCCAACACTCCATTGTATCTAAAGGAAATATTAGAAGAACGCAGATGAATTGGGGGCTGACGGATCAAGAAGTGGACGCAGTTTTGCAGTTAATTCAATTCCGAAGAGATTATTATGCCGATACCAAAGGTGCTCGAAATTGTGTTTATATGCTGAATTTCCCACACAAACAAGAAGAAAGGGTCGAAGAACGTGCGGGTGAAAAGGGCGAGAACTTAATTAATGGTACGGAGCCAGAAGAAGCTTTGCCCCGGAAGAAAAGGAAATTTAGGTTCATTATTGATATCTATAGAAATGCAAAGCCTTTGATCAATACTTTGGGTCACAAGCGAGCCAAGAATCGAAGATGCCCATAAGTTTATGTTTGTATTGGGGGAAAAGAAGGGGTTTTGAACCATGGAAGTTGATTATCTGATGAAATAGGGAAGGCTGGGTGATGGAAATATTGCTGTCAGTAACTTTAATTTTCACGACTTGATACTATAATCCTTTTAATTAGCACGACTTAATACTATAATCCTTTTTGGAATAAGCTTTCCTGTATTTATTTTTTATTTTCTCATTATCAGTGGTTTTAATTCCTTGTTTTGAAGCTTAGACTTCTGGGAAACCACCCAGAAAATAAAGAAGGGTACAGTGGAAGAAAGGGTAAATAATGTTGAGTTCATTCAAATGATTCAATGATGAATTTTGAAAAGAAATGTTGATTACTTGAGAGAAATCACAATTTGTCAATCCTCATTTTCATATTGTACACACACAAATTGGTTGGTAGGAGCTCAAGCAATAAGCGTGGTTTGACGCGAGTTATCCATGCATACGCGTCTGTGCTTTTTTTGCACTAATCTTTCGTTTTGCTTTGCTTGGTTAGTAAGTTTCTCTTGATTTCACAAAAAAAAAAAAAAAAAAAAAAAAAACCA